TTAGTTTTTTGCTTCTACCAATGCGACTGCAATACGGGAAAACAATACAATCTTCAAAGAACTCTCCCGCTCGTCGGTTTTCTTGCATCGTTCGTGAGTACTTTCGAACTGAAGGTGATGAAAGCAGCGTCGAAAGAGCAGGTCGTTTTGTAAATCTGAAATTCCGCCATTTAATATTAATAGATGGACCTGCACCAGGAAACTGCGGTGATGTACAATTGCGCGGTGCCCGTGTGAACGCAAGTGTCGAAGAACTGAGGAATCGCCCCGTATGTCACCATGGACGCTTAAAATCCTTGTATTCCTATCAGCAGGTGGGATTGCAGTTAGCGATTCCACCGTTCCCTTCCGAGTACCCGGGCAACTCCCGTCTCCTCGTTCATCCGAGAGATGGCGAGACAAGAAAGATTTTGAGATTTTCTATGAGAGTTTCCTCCCCTTCCTTGCGTAGGCCTTGGGTTCGATTCCCGCACCTACCATAACGTTTTTTCGCCTTCTTATGTCAACCGAACTCTGAACCCCCATTCATTCCTCTCTGACGTTCTGTAGAATGTATCCGACAGTCGCAGCGGGCGGGTAGAAATGCGAGCCCGAAACAGGAAGACGTACGCCTAGAGGCACGCAGAAGATTCTATGAGAGCACACGGGATCACGCTGAGCGCACGCGGTTGTCATGTGTGCGTGCGCCACAACCGCCGACCACCGCCACCACCACCACCATGGACCATAGTGGATTTTATTACATATATGTGTATATTTCGAGAGCGCGTCTCTATCCAAAAAAGGTTTTTTTTTTTCAATTCAGAGCCCTTTGAAAAAGTTAGGCTAGGTTAGGTTAGGATTAGTTTAAGGGTAGGTTAGGTTGGGTTAGCTCAGGTTTGCCCATTTTTTGGTTTATATCGATTTTAATGAAACAAAAATGATTGGAATCGGTTTCACTTGCAAACATGAAATGTATCTTTTTTTCCCCGAATGTGAAGAGTGTAAAAATGGCGGGTAGGGTAAGGTTAAGTTGAATGGTTTCACCTTTTTCAAATGGGACTTCCAATGAATGCGTTCCGCATCGGTAAAAGAAAAACATAGAACGATCATGTTGTAAGTAATCAGAAAGCCTCAGCTGAGAATTGCAAATCCTAAGAAAAAAGTATAAATTCATGATTCGTGACAGATTCTGATGGAAAGATACATTGCAAAATAAAAACATATGATTTAATTATGTTTTACTTTAAATTTTTTCCTGATTAATCCGCATTTTCCTCCCTACAAACTGTGACAAGTATATGTCCTGATGAAAAGCGCAATCTATCAAATGCAAAATTACTTCATCAAAACCTAACATAACCTTACCTAGCCTGTTTCAAACCCTTCAGGTACGAGTGATATTTTATTACTCTGCAAAGGGTACCCTTTCGAATGACATATGATTCATTGAATTGGGTTCAAAGGTCAAAATCAATCATTGTGCAACCTCCTTCCTCACTGTGCAGAATTTATGTCAACACTATTTTTTGTTGGTTATAACTTTTCAAGGGAAAATTAGATGCAGCTGATACTTGACAGAGAGGCTCATTAGTCATTTTTCGCATCCGCAAATCTGCTGATGACCGGAGGGCACTCTGTCTTTTTGATACGCCAATTTTTAAGAAGGAAAAAAAACCTATTGGTGGTGGTAAAATAACCGTGTAGTCAGAACCTGGGGGTTGGGTTCATTTTCTGCCCCCAACCCCATCGAAATCAGTCTCACTTTTTTGGCCTCCGTATCAATGTACAGACATGTTTTTGTCCGCAGACTATCTTCAAAATAATCCAACCGTTTGCCAAATTACATTGAACTCGGAGACGGTCGAGCACATGTCACTTTATATGGAATGATCCCCCCCCCCCCTTAAGTACATTTAATCTCTAAATGGGCATTGCACAACTTAGGCATGGATGCTTCAAAAAAGCTGGCTTTCATTTCAACACCTTGTAACTGCCCACTATCGATCGCGTATCCAATGGTAATTTTTTTACTGCATTAACTAACAAGAGTTTCTCCCATAGAAAACGGAAAAGGTAGAGACTTTTATGCTACTCGAACTCCAAGAAAGCCGTAAACTTTGAAAGGGTGAATAATCTTGGTAAATATAGACGATCGTGAGTGACTGACGCAAATTTAAACCACTTTCTAGAAAATAAAGAAATCTGAAATTGGTAAAGTAGATCAAGTAGATCAAGTAGAACAAGATCTAACACTCATTGGATCAAAATATTTTTTGATCCAGTGAGAGAACTGATGAAAGTTGAAACTTGACTCAGAAGTACCTGTTCGATTGCTGAGTGCAGATCCTACTTTGCAAATATGTCCCCTCAAGGAAGATTATGAACAGATTTGAAAATAGGCACAAAAGAAACAATTGGAGTATTGATTGCGATGAAATAGAATATCGTTTCGTCCTTCCATGGCACACTTTTCGACAGGTACATATTTTTCTTTGGTTTTTACCCCCTTTGAAAAAAGAAGAACGAATCACTATCCTGGACAAAGGAGCGCAGAAGGCGCGAACATAGGGAGTTTGTCGGCCCGAAGTGCAAACAAAATCGTTAGTGTGAAATGTTCACCCTTTGCTGGGTCGTATGCCTGGGGCCAGTCTCATTCTGAAGTCTAAACATCGAAGATTGAGAACACGTCGTCTACAAAGAACCTTCCGGTCTCCGTGATGCTGCTATCTCGCTAGCTTCGAGAATTATCCAAGAGATTCCCGTGACTTAATTGAGAATATCGTGCCAGCGATAGGAACTTAGTGGTCTGTGTTTCAGGAGTCGACGTTGGGGTTTCCATTCTGTGAAGGATGGTGCTTCCTTAACAATTCCCAACAATGAATTGCAGACCAGGTTCGCAATAGTTTATTGCATTTTGTACGGGAAACGTTTCCCGTGAATATATTTTTTTAAATTCGCTAATCATATGCATATTCCTATGTCTAATACTTTTTTATTTGGAAACATAAGCACCGGGCAAATTCTACCGAATGAAAATATGTCCTACGCGTACATTCCAGTACAGTGTCATGTCCAAAGGTACAATGGTGCATGCATGAAAACTTTCAAAAACTTAGCGGAACTGTTAGAATGCACGATCCATTTTACTTAGTAACTCTTCGAAAAAAGTAAGAAAAAATATCGTAAAATGCTTCTACATTTCCTTTTTGCATTAGGACGTTTCTGAATTTTTTATTATCAAGTAGGATATTTATTCAGGTAAAATTTTAATCTGGGAACGCCACAGAACAGCGATTCTCAAACCTATTTGTCGCAATATGCATAAATCCCGTCTCCTATTCAGGCCTGGAAACAAATCCAGGTGGCTGTGCATCAAGATGAGGGGAATTCCATATTTCTTGTTTTTGGCACTCAACCTTCTTGCCAATTACGGGACTGGAAATGTAAGTTGAACGTTCCAAATGCACGAAGGGTGGATGTTTTTAATTGAATACTTGGGAAATGTTAAGGCTTAATTTCAGCATATTTGGAGGTTTTTCAAGCTCTTACGAATTTGAGAGAGCGGTTTTTGACTGCTGAGGATTGAGATTTTCCTTCTCGAAGTGAATTATAAATCATTCATCGGTTTTAAGAAGAAGCCATTCTTGCGATAATAGTATTGATCATTCTTCGATTTTCCAGGCAATCGAAAGTACTCCGAACCATGGACGGGAAAATATTGGAGGCAACTTGGAAGAAATGATGCTAGTTCTGAGGACAAAAATGCAGGAACATGCGATGCAAATCGCACAGCTGAACGCTGAAAATGAGAACCTGTGGAATGACAAGGAAAGCCTCAGGGACGACAACAAGAAATTGAAGTATGACTTCCAGAACATGAGGCGGGCTACCGAGAAGGTGAGTAATACGTACGAGAGTATGAAACAGGTCAACGAGAAGTTGATTATTGACTACGAGAACATGAGAAAAGATCACGAAAACCTCAAGAACATCTCATGCATGAACATCTCCAGGAAAGAGAGAAACTTAAACTTGAACTGAACACCACAGAAGGAAGACTCGAATATCTGGAGGCTATAAGCATGCAAATAAGTGAATGAAGACTTGATAAAGCCCTTCGATCATAATTGTTGACGAACATCAAATAAAAGCAACTTTTAGTTATCAAATGCATAAAAATGGCTGTTTGAGTATCCGAAGCATGTCCTATCACGGTTCGGAATGCCAGTTTGACCGGAAAGTGATTGGCACCGTAGTATCACCATTTCATAGTGATAAGTTGTTATTCGAAGGCGGCACTAACGATATTCTTAGCGTTCAGAGAATAGCTGCATAGCTTATTGAAATTCCCTGACTATCCTTCACCGAAACAAACTTTCTGATAGAATACATTGCTGGTGTCCTTTAGGGCGAATTTAAGGCACTCGCGTGAAAACTTAACGCCCTTGCCTCAAAAAGTAACGTACGCTCCATTGAAAGACATTGGGGAGGTTCTGGTCGGTTTCGCTTTGTATGGCTGACAGGGCGGGCATCGATCCGCGAGACTCCTCGCCTTCCCATTCACAGCAATGGATCGTCCTTTGAGTTTTGCCGATGGTGCGTTAAGTTTTGAAAGTATTACATTATCACATTATTGCCTTTCCGTATTCGGAGGAATTATTTTCCCGGTCTGCTTCTTGGCTGTCCATAGACGTTCCTAACCCCGTATGTTAGAATATTGAAGAACGTACTTTGATTTTGACAAAGGGACGCTCTTTTGACTGCCGGACGCATAGATAACGTTATGAGAAAAGAGCGCAGCGTTTTGCCTGATCGTACGTTAAGTTTTGAAAAATGTCCATTGAGATATGAAATAGGGCTTTAGCAATTGGAAAAAACTGTAATAATTCACGCATGCGCACGGAGGTTCAAGGTCACACGCACCCTACTCCCCGGCCTCAAGCGTCTTCTTGTTAAAAAGAAAAAAAAATGTGGCCGGATACTTTTTGATCAAACCTCGTATTCAGATAAACCAAGTATCAGTAATGTGAGCCTTCGTGGGGAACGTCCTTTTGAAATATCTTGAGGATATCGCAACAGAGTCCACAGCAGGACTCCTTATAAGCTACCTTATAGATGGCTGCCTCAGCTTTATTTGACCCTATTAAAAATTCATTTACAAGAAACTGGAAATTTCTGTGCCCTGTAAAGCTCTTGCAGAGTAGAAATCAACACATTCAGTCTAGTACCAGTCAAATGACACCCTACACTCATAGCGCATTCGAATTTCCAGGCTTGAAAGTGTTAAAGTGCAGGGCTATTCTTCAGAATCAAGGGCATGAGATGCAGCATGATAATTTCTGGAAGAAGTAGTAAAAACGAATAATATTCTGAATTAAAAATGACGAAATATGACTGGGGCAGCCAGTAGATGCTACGCCATTGGCCCCAGCACATCCTTAAAAAGATCTACTGACATCCCTTGCAGATTTATCCACGTCCCTTAGAAGTATAAAATCGTGTGAAAACCATTTTCTAAGGCTTTTCCTCTCTTTCAACTTCAGTAGAGTGAAAACCCATTCGTTCTCACCTTGTTTTAAGTTGAAAGTTACTTCCTCTGTTGTCATGTCCGTGTCATCGTCTGCCCTAGTATTGATGCGCAGGAGTGGTAAGACAGAGATGTTGAGGATTTGAAAGACTTTACAGAGTCTTTTCACATCTTCCTCAGTGCCTTCTCGTTGGTTTTTCATGTTAAATATCAGTGCTTTTCCATTCTTGGATGGATATGACCTCACACCCTCGGATCTGTCAGCATCTTGTCTAGGATGAAACAAAGAAGAAAACCGAAATTCGATCATGACCAACTCAGATTTGAAGGATGTAGCTCCAGTGTCCTTGACACCTAGCGTACTGCTCACGATCACCGTTTTTGAGTCCTTTCGTGAGTTCTTTTGCCTAGTCTATGGTCGAAAAAGTTATAGCCTTGTAGGCATCGAGCTTTAGGCTAAGGTAACTGAGGCTTAGGTCGGAGCGGCGGATCGACGGGGTAAAATGTCCGGTACGCAATGTGTTAATGTTTTCTGGATTGTTTCCTCCGCCACGGGATTAAAGTTTACAGATTGTATCAGTGATATTCTTCAGTCTTTCAGCAGGTCTTCCCAGCAAACAAACGGACATTCAATCAGCGTTGTATGGAACGAGTTGGGGGGAGTCAATCGCGCAAGGGTCAATGAGTTTCTTATGGAAACATGCAGGTAGAGACTGTTTTCACTATGAAAATGCTTCATTTTCTTGCCTGAGAGATTTCCTCAGGCCAAGAATGATTATGTAGTTAGTAGTCGATGGTCTGAAGTTTTAATTGGAGCATCCAGGCAGCCTGAAAGGCCCATTATGATGTTTCTTTCAACCAAGGCATTCGCTTTCCATGGGCCTATGAAAATCAAATTTGGTATTTGCTGTCACAGGATAAATAGCCAACACTAACGCTATGATATGATAAGTTTCATCATGAGGTACTAATCCAAAAAGGGTTTCTATCATGGGTTATGATTTAAGCACATGTGATTAGGCAGCAGGGGAAGTAATCAGGCATGGCGCGCAGACTGGAAGTGTCAACACACGAGGTGCAGCAAGTGTAATTAGGTTTCTATTCGCTGGGTGCACTAACACTAGATGGCGCGTTTTAAATATGGCGCCGCCCATGACTGGGGGGGGGGGGAGTCGCACATGAGGAGAAGAATGGAACAAAGTTATGTCTTCGCAGAATTGTACAATCCTTCACGTGGGGCTCCTCCCAATTTGTTCTCAAAACTTGAGAGCCACGACAATGATAAAGGGAGCTTCTAGCCGAAGTAAAACATGTTATAAATGCGACAGAGTTCAGGAGTGTGCAAAAAAAGTGGTTCAATCCTTAATCGAATTCCACCTTCAGAGAAGGTGCAGGTTTTCCTCAAAGCCACTCACCAATGCAAGGATTTCCATGAAATCATGAGCATCAGTGAGGTACATGTGCATGATATGAATGGGATATTATTAATATCTTCCAGTTTCTGATAGAATTCACTAAAACGGGAAACTGTTTGAAACTTGAAGTTTTGACTCCCATTGCCTCTGTATACCCTAAAGTGCTGCTAGCTTTTTTTTCCCTATCAGTTGTGCTTCATGGGCGTAAATCATAACCCATGAGAGAAACCCTTTTTGGAGGAGGCAGCCTGAAGTTTTGGGGCTCCATGACGGCCTAGAGAGTAGGATGTGGCTGTCGAATAGAAAAATGAATGGATACCAAGTTATATACAAGCATCCTCGAGGATGCATCTCTGCCGACTATCTATATAAATTTACATAACGACCAGCGGATGTCTGTATGACCGAATTTTGTCCAGCGAACTCCTCCTAGGTGTCTCAACCGATTTCCACTATCGATACATCATTTTATTTTTGATTTCCTGCAGATGGTCCAACTCATTTTAGATTTTTTTTTAGAGTTGACCTTTGACCTGACCCGGATGACCTTTCGTATTAATTTTGGACGCAATTTCTAGCCTGACACACCATTCGACAGTCCTTGAAATCCTTTATTAGAATTTATTTTCACTTGGTAAAAATGTTGACATTTGGTCTTGCTGCAGTCAATCTGAGATGAGAATGCATTGGCGCCATCTCTGTGCAGTCTAGATAACTGCTTCGAAATCACCGTGCTTCACCAGTTTTCTACACTTGACTTCTTATCGAAGCTCACATTTCCTCCCAATTGTATTGAGAAGAACTTTCATTGCAATATGACTTGTAAGAATTCAAAGTTTATATTCACATCAAACCCCCCCCGGAAGCTCGGAATATCATAAGAGTGAATGATGTTCCATCCCCTTTGGAATTCTAATCTTATCACATACTCTTCGACCTCAGACATTTCCGTGGGAGCGCCCGCATCCGCTCGTAACTTTGTAATTTAAACACGAACAGCGAATGGATAAGTCAGAATTCTCCTGTTTAAAAGAGAATGGGAGAAACAGATCTTAAAGCACTTGCAAAAATGGATGCGTAGTTTCTTTACCTCTTAGACATTTTTGAGGGTTGAGGATGCTCCGAGGGTGCTATATCACCTGCCAGAAAAGAGATAAAGTTTTCCATTATCGAATATACCTCAGAATACGTAATTTTGTGTCCTTAGGGAAGATATATGTGACGAGACAGGAAACTCATCAGTCGTCACACCTTCCAAGAGGTCCACGGCCATCCAGCCATCAAATTTGCTCCGTTGTGAGAGGAAAAAGCACGCCAAATTTCGTTCATGAATACACTCAAAGAGGAATACGAAGGGATTAAATCTGGCTGCGGGAGGCGGTTGAAGCAAGGTAATAGGCGCTACCAAAACCTATTGATCCTTGTCAGATATTTGCAGAAGTACGATAATATACTCGCCTGGCATTTAAAACAGTAAAAAAAATACGAGGGTCGTCCAAGGTCTATCTGCACTTTTGTTTATACGAGCCAGAGTAATGTATGCAGATTAAGCATTTTTGGCCGAATTCGTCTTCATTGTCTTGTTAACCCCAATCGCGCGTTTCCTGCCTCCATTAATGTGCTAAAAATCAAGATGGCGGCTATTGAGGTAACAAGGTGGAGCAGCAAATCATCATGAAATTTCTTACGAACGAAAACATCAAACCGATTGATATTCATAAACAATTACCTATACAATATTCTGATGGCTGCCATTGAAGGACATCTGTATTTGACAAGTGCAAATAATTGAAAGAAGGGTGTGAATGCATACTGAATGACTCACATGCTGCAAGACCAGGCACTTCGTTCAACAACGCCAACATAAAGGGAGTTGAGGATCTTATTTCGACTGACAGAAGAGATTCTTCTCACGGACAATCATAATCATACTTTGCAGACGATCGTCTGTAAATTCCAGTAGATTTGATGACCAGAAATTTACTACAGATACGCTGTTCCGCCTTCTTTGTTACCTCAACAGCCGCCATCTTGATATTCAGGGCATGTAATAAAGCAGGAAACACGCGATTGTGGATATGGGTTAACACGTGAAGAAAAATCCTTCAAAAATTGTTAACCTACATGTATTACTCTGCCTTGTATAAAAAAAAAACAGGTAGACCTTGAACGATCTTGTATTTAGTCATTTCGATGTTTTGTCGCGTTGATATTTTCTCCCATCATTGTTTTTCGCGTCGGTGTTTGATGGTAATATTCTGACGTGATACTGAATATCCCTGGCCTAACGATGTTCCACCGTGGTGATTCACGCTCATGTAATAGTTTCACAATTCCTTTCTTGGCTTTCCAATTCTGCCAAACAGCATTAAATTTCAACCTTTGGAAGCAAGTTTACTCCATAAATCAAGATGTGGTTCACCGTTCAATATGGCGCTGCCAAACTTCCAAACTAACGTAACCGATGGAAAAGTAATGAAAATTTGATTTAATCGATTCTCTTCGATGCGGAGCTATTTCTGCAAAAAAAGTATTATCAATCCCAGCGATATGCCAAGTACTCACCGATCCGTTGTCTGATCAAGGAGGTCTGATCAATTCCCTCGGTTAGTGCAAAACTCAAACTGGTCGGGTATAGTCACGAAATAGTCACGATTATGACTATTTCGTTCTCTTCTTACCGTCGCTTATCGAGGACAATTCTCTCTCTATAGATAAGTTGCACATAAAATGTCGCAATATAGGATGATACAACTGCTGCTAAGTCACACGTCATCCATCTTTTCAAATAGTTTAACCTCTCCTTTTTTCCAAGAGTGCATTCCAATTTGTTTGATGTTCTCAATCTTCAATCCACTCTTCATCAGTATACTTGTGAATGAGCATCTGCATCCTCTTCTTTCATCTGATGTACATACGGTTATTTCATGTAATATACAACATAAAATAAGATTGTATAATACATTATGTACAATGTATATAGTTTCTGATCGTGAGTGACTGAGTGACCGACTGACGCTAATTCTAACCATGTTCTAGGCATGATAGAAATATGAAATTAGGTACCTAAAGAGGTGTTAGAGTGCTGACTTAAGGGGAAAAAAGAAACCTTGGAGGCAAATTTTCTCGTGGGCGGAGGGACGTTTCCATTCCATAATGATATCATCTTCCATGAGGAAGATATTAAATTAGGTTCATGTTCACTATATTCTCTTCCAAAACTGCTTGGAAAAAATCGCGCATTTTACCAACGACAACAATCAAAAGTAACATTTTCTTTCTATCCTTGATTTCTTGCAATGACATCAGCATGTTCTGGTGATGTTGTGACTGATACTAAGAGCACTCAAGCATGATGGATGTCATCCTCCACAGATCCCAAATTTATTTACATATTTGGCTAATTGGAAGTGTCAAACTTTGGAATTATTTTCTTTTGCACTTTTTTGCGACTTTGTATCGACCAATTACATCAACGCAATAAATGGACTGTGTAGCTGAAAAATCATAAATTCCATTATACCTTTCATCAAGGATGGCTTTGAAATTTAGAATCTCCTCAGATGAAATGAGCTCTACGAGTACATTTTCACAAACTGCAGCAGCAACATCTGCAAACGATTCAGCTGAGTTTATTGCTTTGCTCTTTTAGCCAGACTTTGCTGCAAGCTAGATTTGCCTCTTAACAGTGCCGCCTACACCATCAACCGCACCTTTGCCATGACTTGTGGTAAAGAATTGTCAAAAAATGTGAACTTCATGCTCATCTTCCAAGAAAGTGAGACTCACAAAGTTGAACTTCTGCTTGAACTGCGAAGCTGCTCCATCTGAAAAAACGATAAGTTTTTTCATCTAAGGAAACTTGCATTTCAAGTCTTGCACCAGGAATTGCATGAAGGCATGCACTGCATACTTGTCATGAGATAAGTAGTCACTGATTATAGCAAATGAATGACAAGCTCGTTCACACCAAGCCACAGCTGTGAAAAGAGTGACTTACGTCTAATGCCTATGGGCGCTCTGGACTTCATTTTGATGCTGGCAAATGTAATTTTCTGCAAAGTCGACTTGCAATACAACTTTTGAAGCGTCACATTGAGAAGCTGACTCCCTCTAGGTCTTGAATTCCTCGCTCTGAACTCTTCACAAAGGTATGAGCTAAGAACTTTGAACTGACATCTTCCAAACGGGCCAGTATATCAGATTTAGTGCCCATTCGCACTGTCAAAATTGCCCGGCCTTCAATGATTTCCCATTGACTCCATGTGATATCTTCTTCATTTTTAATTGTCTCTGTAAATGAAGGAAGCAGGTCTTGGAGCCTTGTTTCGCAATCTCTGCAAGCACTCATCATACAGCATTCAGAATCCACACTGCATACGACAGATGAAATGAAATCCTGAGTTGTTGATGGGAATCCTGTTATGGTTCCCTTCAGTGGCTCGATCGTGAGTGTCATATTTTCATAATATCGACAAAGGCAGACGGTGTATTGGATATCCTAGAGGAAGCGTACTTCGGATGGCCGAAGTTGTGCAAACTTTGCTTTCCCTATCTTGACATTTGGATTTATAGGGTGGTTTAAAAAAAAAACGCTCTACCGTTTTCTTTGGGCGAAACATAGTTTCATTAATGTATCAAAAAAATTACATTGGATACGCGATCGATATTTGACAGTTACAAGGTGTTGAAATGCTTGCCAGCTTTTTTTTCAGCACCCCAGCTTAAGTCGTGCAATACCCATTTAGAGGTGAATTAAAGGTGTTTAGAGGTGGATCATTCCACTTCAAGTGAAGTCATTAGCTGTGCTCAACTGCCTCAGAATTCATGCATTTTTCAACGTTAACTTTTCAAGGGACAGTTGGATCCAGCTGAAACTTGACAGAGGTTCATGAAAACCGCCCCACCGACTTGCTGGTCCGGCTTTTGCCCGGCACCAGGGCCTCATTAACCCATGGGCTTTAGCCTTAGGCCCTCCTATTTTTAGACCCTACTTTAGGCCCTCCATTCCTAATTTTTTTAAATGTAATGTGTAATTTATACTTCGGCCCTTCCCTCCCATTAGCCTTAGGCCCCTCGTAAACTTAATCCGGCCCTGCCCGGCACCCCTGGTCGCAGGGGCTGGCTGTGTCGTTCAGGCACCATTAATTCCTAGGAATTTTCCGGTTTGCCAGGCAAGTTGGGTCCTGCCTGAACGAGGCTAATGAGTGTCATGACTATTCAAAAATAGACGAAGCATCAGCTTAGCCCTTCAAGGAGGACGGTCCTACCGGTAGGACCGGCAGTATGTCTGTGTGACTGAAAAACTTTCTCGCTAAAGGGTTACAAGAAGCAAAATGGGTTGCCCCCTTGAATATTCCTTTACTTTTTTCCTTGCTGATGACAATAGTCCCTTCAGCGAATTTTCATTCAAATAAATGCGCAAAACTACCTTTACGTTAGAGTGTGTCCTAGTGAAAGTTCGACTAATGACACTTGACCGCTTTGACCGGTTGAATCGAGCCAGTAAAAATGTTATTTCCTAAGTCGATATCATTGTAATGAATCGATGACATCACTGGATGCAATTGGACCAGTTGCCATTGGGTTTTGGCATAATCCTTTGAAATGAAAACCTTCCTATCATGTGTAGTGGGTGCTATAACCATTCTGTCACGGTACTGCATTACTTACTGTAGAAGAAAAAATATTGGCTTTAAATATGGCAAAACTTCCTTTTAGCAGTTCCCTATTTTTCTAGATTTTTGTTGCCCATGAAATAGGCCTATGGTATCGTGACGTGAGCCACCGTATTGTACTCAGTTGTGCTCAAGCAGCTCAACCTCTGAATAGGGTCATCCCATGCCCATTCGACCAGAGCGTGAGCTCGACTGTCTCCGATTTGGGCGAAAATCGGCTTACGCATAGAGGAAACGATTTAAAGAAACCTATTTCAACCAATTTCTTATCTCTCGCACAGATCTCCATAAACATGAATTTGAATGTGATCTATTTTTTGGCTCCTGGCGCCCATACGGACTGGAATTGTGAACGTGTTTCTGCAATAACTTCTCTTTTAGCTAGGATACAAGTTTAATTCTGGTGTCATTTTAATCGTGAAATCGCCGTCTTTAATTTGATTCTATGCAATATTCTCCAAACCTTAAACAAGAAGTTCCACTTAATCAAACAGTTTGATTAAATTCAGTGGCCAATATCGACGCTTGCCACCTCGTGAATTCTTGGTTCCAATACATCATTCAAAAGGGCATGGTATGCCATTTCTAACGACGCCAACTTCGTCTTTGCTGACAAAGCAAGCATATAAATATTGATGAATCTGAATTTATTATCAGAGAAACAAAGAAACAAGAAAAGAAACTAGTCATCACATGGATCAACATATGCACCATTCACAGGATATCACAGTTCCGTGTCGATATATGCGCCTGTGAATATTCTAAGAGTAAAAGAGAGAGGATAAGCATGCAGAATAGTCTGGCAGTCATTAACACGCGTCACTCTGTCTTCGTTCGCAACAGAGCTATAAGAACCAGGTAGATGCATTCATCGCCAAAAAAGCAGTATCAAGGAGTTTGGTGATGTTGATTAAATTTGGCACACAACTTCGTAGCAGTGTGCCATGAGGTTGACTACATTTTCAGGAGCAAAGGATCACAAAAAACTTGGTAAGCACTCCGATATAAAATTTGGGGGGAGATGGGGAGAAATCTGTGGCGTATTTTATGGGGGGGGGGGGGCGGCCGCCCCCGGGGTGCCCCTGGGACAGAGCCTGGGGCCGCTTTGGTGGCAATTATTTTCTCCCCTGATTTCGCTTAGGTGGGTTTTGGCGCCCCTCACTCTGCTGCCCTGCCCCCCCCCCCCCCCCCCCCCCCCCCCCCCCCCC